AGAGAGGGGAAGGGAGAGAGAAAGAGGAAGGAAGGAAGGTAAGAAAGAAGGGGGAGAGAGAGAGAGTATGTGTGTGTGTGTGAGTGTGTGTGTGTGTGTGTGTGTGTGTGTATGCGTGTGTAAGATTTTGCTTGTGGGGCTGGGGATTTAGCTCAGCGGCATAAGCGCCTGCCTTGCAAACGTGTGGTCGTGAGTTCAATCCCAAGTACCAATAAAAAAAAAAAAAAAAAAAGATTTTGCTTGTGCCCTCCACCTGGCACAAACTCCCTCCTTGACCCTACTAACACACTGCCAGCTAAGCTTATTGCTCATTACCACTACCACTCTCAGCCTCTGCCGATTCCCTGAGCCCAAAAAGTAAAGGGAAACTCAGCGGTTCCTTTCTCAGGAGCCTGGAGAAGAGCCAGGTGGGACAGGGGCTCTGGTGTCACCTTTTTGGACTCCAGTCTTCTTGGGAAATCCTGATCCTGCTTACACTGGGGAGACTAAGGCTAGACCCCCGGGTCAGCCAAGAGCCTCGGCAGTTCCAAACTTTGGCTCTGGAGGAGACAGCCTTGGGGAATCAAGTGTGGGACTTCCCAGCTCAGCTGCACACCTTTGCCCTCACAGTTCACAGGGACTTCATGAGAAGGCGTCATCACCATCACCTCTACTCCTCCATCCAGCACTGTTCACATTCACCTTATATAACCTGATGAGGAGGTATTATTACCACCCCATTTTACAGGGGAAGAAGCCAGAAGGCAGGGAGATAAAGTCAGCCAAGGATCTGGCAAGAACCCGTAGAATTCAGTTGGGCATGGTGGCACACTCCCAGCACTCAGGAGGCTGAGGCAGGAGGATTACCATGAGTCCCAGCCTAGCCTGGGCTACATAAATGAGTTCAAGGCCAACCTGCACTACATGGCAAGATCCTGTCTTTTAAAAAGAAGAACCAGTACTATCCTGTGACACTTCCCTGAGGTCTGAGAGCATGTAGCCATTACCTCTTCAGCCAGAAGAGGCCAGAGAGAGCAGCCTTCCAGAGTGCTGGAGAAGCCAAAGCCCTGGCCAGTCGTGGAGCCCAAACCTTTCGCTCCCCACCCTTCCTGCCCTCGGGATTTCTCGCTATGCCATCTTCTTACCAAAGCCAACTGGAAGCCACAGGACAGGTGATATGGTCTCCTGGGCACAGATCAGGGCAGGGATTGGACTCGGATAAAAGAGACTTCCACTTGCCCTGCGGTAAACCTAGGTGAGGTCCCAGGGCTGCCATAGGCTGGTTTGCAACCCAGGAGATCTGGATCCAGAGATGTCACGAAGTGTTAGTGGTGTGGCAGATACAAGGTGGAGGATGAGAGGACTGGGTCCTGAGGCAGGCTCTGCTACACTGATCTGTGCCACCTTGGTGAGACTCTGGGCCTCAGTTTCTCTTTGTACAAAGCAGAGATGATCTTTATTGGTCCCTCCACAGCCAAACTGCCCAGGCCACACAGAGCCCCTTCGTTCCTCCTCACCTACCCCATTACGTTAGATAAACCTGCTGCCAAAGGCAAGGAGCCCCCTCCTGAGTCCCTGTGGAGGGCACTGCCACATCTTCTGCCCATGGGACTCTGGAGTTCTGAAAAGTCCCCATCAGTCTCCCTGGAAATCCCAGTATTCACACTAGCAGGCAACAGCTTGGAGCCCCCACCTCAAAGAACACAGCCTCCCTCCTTGCAGTGAGGAGGTGCAGGGCCCTACTTAGGCTGGCACCCTCATAAATCCATCCTTGTGGGATCCAGGCTGTCTTTGGCCTCTGGGGTCTCTGCACTATATGGGGTAATCCCTTTTCTCTCTTTTCCACTGCACCCACCTCTACCTCACGGAGGTCTCCCCAAGCCTAGAGGTGCCTCACCCAGCTTTTCAGCAAAACAAAATCCAGACAAAAGGTCTAGCAAAAAGATAAGAGCTCATTACCAGAAATTAAGGAGGAGGCATCCCCTGGGGCCAGATGAGTGGGACTGGGCTGGCAGGAGAGTCACTCTGAAGTATAGGAAGAAACAGGCACCAACTGTGCCCCGAGTACTTGGAGATGGGCTCAGGGTTAGTACTGAGGTGTGCAGGGCACACTGGATGCTCACTCAGAGGTGCACAAAAAGTCGGTGGTGGAAGGTGGACAGAAACATAGTAGGTCCAAGGCTGAGATTCAGAGACATAGCCAGGGATGACAGAAGGCGGGCACAATGCATGAGTGTAAGTGTGCTAAAAATGCACACTTACACTTACGCATACAGCCATTCCTACACAGGCAGGTAGATGAAGAAACAGAAAAAGTGCTTCGAGTTTCAGGAAAACTGATTTCAGTCAGAGTAAGTCACAACTTAGAAAAGCACACACATGGAGACTGGAAATGGCCTGAGGAGGAGACTGGCACAGAAAGGGCGGAGTCCGGGTGCTTGGTGAGCCATAGTGTGTGGAGCCTCCCATGGGGTGATTCTCAGGTCTCCCCTGAAAAATGGATTACATGGGATGAAAATGATGCTTTGTTGTTGTTGCTGCAGATGAAGATTTGTTTTCTTTCTTTCTTCCTTCTTTTTTTTTTTGAGTGGGGACAGCACTGGGGATTGAACACTGCCATGTGCATGCTTGGTAAACACCCTAACACTGAGCCATAACTCTAGCTCATTCTACTTTACTTTACTTTACTTTTCTATTCTATTCTATTTTAGGGTCATGCTAAATTGCTCAGGCTGTTACTGAACTTGTGATTCTCCTGCCTCCACTGCATGCTTATACCACAGGCTTATGCCTCTGTGCCCAGTTGGAGGTGAAGTCTTTCTTCTAGAAACTGCTGCCCTCCCTAGAGAGGTGTGATGGCAGGGAGCTTTCCTTCTGCACCTGTGGGGTCCCGCAGCTACTGCTGGACTCTCGTCCTTCTCGTGCTCATTGCTCCTGGCCAGGCTCACCGGTGCTTCCTCGAGTCATCTGACCCCTACATACTCCTTTGGCTGTGTGTGCTGAGTCAAGGCACAGCAAGAAAACTCAGAAAACGCAGAACCATGGAGGGATCTGAGGCGGAAGAGGATGTTGAGTTCAATGACCTTTAGAAAACAGCTTTCAGTTAGGCATGGTGGCACATGCCTGTAATCCCAGCACTCAAGAGAAGGTCATTCACGAGTTGGAGGCCAGCCTTGGCTACATATGAGCTCAAGGCCAGCCTGAACTACACAGGGAGACCCTGTCTCAAAACACAAATAAACCAAGAAAACAAAAACCCAGCTTTCAGCACTCTTCTCCCATATTCCCACCCTGGAATTCCCCTACTCTACCTCTACAGCCAAGATGACATTACTTACCAGATGCTGGGTCACTGTGCTAAATTCTTTGCACTAATGATCTTCCATGACTTCCTCCTCTCCTTCATCCCAGAGTCACAGATGAGAAAACTGAAGTTAAGGAAAATAACTTAAATACTCCAGGGTTACATAACAAGAGAGAAACTAAGATGGGTGTCAAATTCCTATCCCTAGCCCTCAGCCATGGCTGACTAGGCAGGGTCAGCAGCAAGTTTTGACAGGGGGGCCAGCCATGGCGGTGCATGTTTGTAATTCCAGCACTCAGGAGGCTGAGGCAGGAGAATCATCGTGAGTTTGCAGCCAGGCTGGACTACACAGTAAGTTCCAGCCTGAGTGACATAGCCAGACCCTATGAAACAAAACAGGCAGTGTGAAAGTCCTGGGTTCAATTCCCAGTATTAAAGTTTTGAGTGATAAAGGTAGGATACCAAAGGTGAGGCTTCTGTAACTGACATGGAACTGCAGCCACATTCCCTTCCCAAGATTCAGCCTTCTTCCCCTCAAGGCCGGTGTCGAGGACATGTCTTCCCGCTCAGATCCCTCTAGCCTCTGAGACGTTCCCTTGGGGAGTGGGGTACAAGGAAGGCACAGAGACCTGAGGTGGAGCTGCCCTCTCCCCCTCCTTCCTCGCTGTGAGACCCACATCTGCCATCCCCCCTCTCTGGCCAGGATCTCCCCATCTTCAGGAAAAGCAGTCTCTTCAAGGCCTTTGGGATGTTCTGGCTCCATGGGGTTAACTCTGCTGGGGAGCTCAGGGAAGTTTAAGTAGGAACCAGTGAAAGGAGACAGAAATATGGAGAGTATCTGGGGTTCAGTTTGCCAAGACCCTTATATCCCTAGGTTCCCAATCAGTCAGTATCACCTCTGCCCAGACGCTTCCAACTAAACACACACGTGGAGAGGAGCAGGGAAAAGCAGCCTTGGGCAGGTGGTGGTAGAGGATGGCAAAAGAGTGGAGAAGAGCAGGGATAACTTACTTCTTGGAAGAGGAGGCATTAAAGCAGATCCAGAAGATTTTCAGGAGCAAAGATGTGAGTTGGAGTTTCCCAGTTTAGGCCCCAAGGACAAAAGTGAAGGAGGCTGAGCTGAGGTGGACGGGCATGTGATAGAGTGGCAGAGGCAGGGGCCAGGCCCTGGAGGGGTGGACAGCAGATGGAGGGCGGATAAGAACCACAGGGTTCTCCTCTTCCAACAGGGGTTCAGAAAGAGTCCTTGAGAGCAGCATGGTCTAGAGGCAGAAAGGTAGCGGGAAGGAACATAGCCAAGGTCCAGTGGTGGTAAGGGACACTGACCAGCTTGTAGCAGGCAACATGGCTTCCTAGTCTGATTTGTGTCCAGCAATGGGAAACTCATTCTCTTGGGTCTTCCCTTGGGCAGGTGTGGCTGGAAGGAGGTTCCTCCTTACACGGGGCTCTGGCCCAGTGGTGAGGTCTGGGTACGGGCAATGGGAAGATGCTGTTCACTGCCCTGGGGTGCCCAGGATGGACACTGGGGACTGCAGAGTGTAAGCTGAGAGGTTCTCTGACCTCTCTGTGTCCACCTGAGCAGGGCCTGAGTTTGACCCCTACAGCACCCTGACCAATTAGATACTCAGCTAGGCACCCTGGGAATTTGAGTCAGATACATTGAACCTTCCATTGACTCCAGGAAAACCACAAAACAAACAGAAAGAAATCTGCACAATTGGCAATTTTAGACATATATTTTATTATTTTTTTATAAAAGGCAAAAGAATACACTGTCGAATGAAGTATTAACAGGGAGAAGACCCTTTTATTAGAGTCTCCTAACTCCCACTCCTAAGACTGTAACATCTGATATATATTTTTAAAACAACATAAAAACAAACATGAAACTTATGACCTGGACTTCACCCCCTCCCCTGTGCCTATTTTATGACAGAAACATATTATAGGGCTCTAACTCAGGGATTCTAGAGCTCCAGACCTCAGCAGGGGCCCCTCCTCCCAAAAGCCTGGACAAGACAACTTAGGAAAAATGACGGGCACACATACTCAGAAACACACACACACACCTGGACCGTCCTCCATAGGGAGCCTCTAGATACACATACCTTGGCACTGCCCTCACTCACAGAGGGTCACAGTGCTCTCCCTTCCTTTTGGCTGTCTGTACCATTAGGATCCTTTAGGAAAACTTGGTTTCTTGCCCTGAATATCTTGGAAACCACACACGTGCGCCCATGTGCACACACACACACACACACACACACACACACTCTGCTACCCATTCTCTCCCCCTGTCCAATTGGGCAGGGTCCAGTGGGAATCCTGGAGGAGGTTGGCTAGCTGGGATCGACACGAGGGGTGACACAAAGGGGCTTCTAAGGAACAGTCCCTGCATGGTGGTTAATGCTCAAGGGAAGGGACACGAAAGACATGGCCACTGCCCACTCAGATCTGCTCCTTGTGCTTCACGTGGGCCAACTTCACGTTCTCCTGCTCGGTAGAGGGTGGGGGCTGCTCCAGGTGGCAGCCAATCATGAGTTGATACACAAAAACACCCGCAATGGAGCCCAGGAGCGGAGAGACAATGGGCACCCACCACCAGTGCCGGCCGGTCCTGGAGGACAAACGAGTGTGTTAGGAGGGTGGGGGCTAGGGCAGAGGAGAGCAGGCTGGGGTAAGCTGGGTGGGTGCTGCACTCACGTGAAGACTTCTGAGCCCCAGCCAGCGATGGCAGTGAAAAGGCGGGGGCCGAAGTCCCGAGCAGGGTTGACAGCATAGCCAGAGTTGAAGCCCATGGAGGTGCCGATGACAAGGACCACCAGGCCCACGGTGAAAGCCTCCAGGCCACGGGGAACAGGATTGTTGTAAGGATCGACGATGGCCAGCACACACACGATGAGGGAGGCTGTGCCTATGAACTGAGGGGTTGGGAGAACAGGTTGAGGGGCAGCTCTCTCACACTCTCACCCTGCCGTCTGTCCTCTGCAGCTCCTGGAATGTGGCTGCCTAAAGCAGTGGTGCAGAAATGTTTGCAGCAGAGGAACTGACAAGGAGCTGCATGTTTTATGAGGACCTGCCACCATGCTCCACTGCAGGGGTGCCCACAAATTGAGAAATCTTGTGGTTATCAAGGAGTCCTGGCTACTAGCCAGCCCACAAGCAACCAAAGGAACGTGGTCCCCCTCCCTGCATTCCCCTCACACGTCCCCAGTCCATACCTGATCGAAGAAGCCATTGATCATGTCCAAGTGTCCTGAGGGGTAGGTGGCAAAGATGCCAGCTGTGCCGTTGGGGCCTGAGACTACCAGCTGATTGTTGGCGAAGCCCCAGATCGCATCTGGTGGTAGATTAGACCCAGAGTGGGGGAAGGCAGGGGCCCGAACCTAGCCTCCCCGCTCAGATTGGTCCTCCCACCCTCTCAAGGTCATGAGTGAGCAGAATCACTGCTGCATTACTCAGGAGGCACAGCAGTAGAGTGGGTGGGGCGGGTGGAGGGCCTAAGACTCCCATTGCCCAACTCCATCTTCTCTCGTGCCCTCTGCCTTGGGCTTGTGACTGGGTGAGTGAGTCATGAGCCTGGGGCCTGGGCAGGCCCTGCTGTCTATCATCAAAAAGCCTGGTGCCAACGGATCCCAAGCAAAGGAAGGGGGAGTAGGAAGTAGAGGAAGGCAGAGTGGGAAGTCTTACCATAGTAAAGCCCAAAGATGATCCCAGCACCCAAGAAGGCTCCCAGGGTCTGAGCCAGGGTATAGACCAGCAGCTTGATCCAGGGTTCTCGGGCCAAGAAGCACATGGCAAAGGTTACAGCAGGGTTCAGGTGGGCTCCTGGGTAGACAGGAGATAAAATCTATTAGCTACAGCCAGCTACAGTGAAGATGCCAGGGCCCCCAGCGTATGTCTCCTTTCTGGTCTTGGCAATAAGAGGTGCACAGAAAGTCTCCTTGTACAAGATGGTGGCTGGACTATGTAACAGATTCAGTCTTGTTTGCTCTTTTTTTTTTTTTTAACTTTTAACTTTATCGGTACCAGGGATCGAACTCACGATCGCCTGCTTGAAAGGCAGGTGCTTATGCCACTGAGCTAAATCCCCAGCCCCTCAGATTCACTCTTGTGACTGTAAGGTACAAGTTGAGGATTCTAAGCGTCAAGTTTCTTCTCCGCCCTCCTCTCCCAAGGTGAAGTCAATGCTATGACTGCTGCTTTAATGTCACCACCCAGTGGAACACCTAGTGGGAATAGTGTGGGGATTTTAAGGACTTACCAGAGACCTGGCCAGCTATGAGGATGCCCAGGGTGACAGCAAAGCCAAAGGCCAGGTTGATGGTGAGGAAGCCACCATGTGTGCCTCGGCTGAGCACTACCTGGGCCACAGAGCCACAGCCAAACATCTGTGTCAGGAAACAGAACAAGGAAGAGAGGGTGAGGTCTCGGCAGCCGCATGCAGGAGGGAAGGAGTGCAGCCAGCAACCCCCCTTCCTGGAATCCAGTGCGAACCCCTCCTGCTGGGTCTACAAGAACCAGACACAGGAGACGGTGCCATCCCACCACTCTGTGCAGGCTCTCACGTGGGATCCCGTGACAGCGACTGGGAGCAGGGCTGTGGCTAGCAGCTTGGAAGGTCACTGAACTATGGTCATTGTTTTCTCTTGAATCCCAAAGTGGGTGTGGAAGGCCAGCTTTTACTCTCACACAGCCCCTTCCCCAGTCCTTCATGCCTGGTCCACAGAGGTAGAAGATCTCCTTCGTCCCTCAGCTGCCGGACAAAGAGCTTAGGAGGTGGTGGTGGCGGTGAGGAGGTGGGGGCCCATCTTGCAGGACTCAGGGCAGAGAAAGCGGAGATGACTCTGAACTTGCTGCCATGGATGGAGAAAACCTAGAGGGAACTAAGCTCCCTGATGTTCTGCAAGTATAGAACACATTACCTGTCTGCTCCCCTTGTTAAAATGTGAAAACACTAAATGGGGTGTGGTGGCACATGCCTATAAACCTAGCATTTGGGAGGCTGAGGCAGGAGGATCTTTATGAGTTTGAGACCAGTGTGGGCTACAAAGTGAACTCAAGGCCAGCCTGAACTGCATAGCAAGATCCTGTCTCAAAAAAAAAAAAAAAAAAAAACGAAAACAAAAAAAGTGAAAATATTTCTGTATTAGCTATCACAGGCTATTGCCCCGAGTCCCCAGCGAACTCCACAGTGGCTAAAATCCTAGTTCCAGGTCTCCCTTCTTATTTTCCTATAACTAAAGGTACCATGCTGACCCAGCAGCCAGTTTCTGGAACTGTGCTTAGACTCCTGTGTATTCTAATGGGTCAGTGCCCATTTAATGAGCTTTTAAACATTTTGATTATCACCTATCAGAAATACCAAGACACAGTGGGGAAGCCAGGGATGTTGATGCAGGGCAAAGGTGCACAGGCAGGTGAGAGCAAAGATCAAGATCATGAGTAGGGGGGAGAGCGGGGGCAGGGCAGGCACAAGGAGGTCTGGGGCACTCGGCCAGGCCAGGCCAGGCTGGGCCCTGGCCGCAGCTCTTTGCCTGCCTGAGGCCCAGACCTGGCTCCATCCCAAGAGGTGTTGGAGGGAGGAGCCGTCAGAGCCAGTTCTACCACCTTGGGGCTAATCTTTCCCTTCCTTTCCCCATCCCCTGCCCCCAAGTTCTTGGCCTGCCCCCCACCTTGCCTTACCAGGGACCTCAGAGAAAGGGGCCTCCCTCACAGCAAAGCCAACCCTAATCCTGCACTGCTGTTCTAGGGCCTGACCCATACAGATATGTAATCAAGCCCTCCTCCACCACCTGGGGATGCCCCAGCAAGGCCCCCACTGGTTGGGCAGCCCTGAGGTTCTGTTTTTCACAGACATCTGATGCTTCTCATCCACCCCAGCCTAACTAACACCTTCTTTTTGTGGTCTAGGAGAAGCCAAATGATTCTGGGACTCAGAAAGAGAACTGGTTGCTCCTTTTTGGGGGAGAGGACTTTTAAACCAATACTTAGGACGAGATAAAGGAGCCCCTCTATGAAAGTGGAAGACCCCTTCTTTTGTTCTGTCCCAAATAGGTGGTGGGCTTCACAGCAGGACAATAATAAAGGTATCCCTCAATTCTCTTCTTGGCTCTGGGGAGGGGGGGCATGGGGACAACTGATAACGGCCATTAGCCCTGTGAAGCCAGAGTATAAGCCCCACACACACACCGTCCCCAGCCCTAGTTACCTCTAGTTAAGGGTCCTAGTCCTCCAGGGGCTGCTGGTCTATATTATTTAAGACAGAGGCTGGGCTGGAACGAGCAACCCACCCACTGCAATGGAACAACCAAACAGAAGCAGCCCAGAGGAAGACAGGTGTCACCGAGTGGCAGACTGAACGCCAGAATAACTGGGACAGGAAATGCAAACTGTAACTGGTGCATCTGCCAGATCCCAGAAATACGCAGCCACCCAGGAACACTCCGAAGGTGAAACTGCTGAAGCCACGGGGTGACTGGAACTGAGCAGAAAGGCAGGCAGGAGAAGTATCTCACTCATTAGAAAGCCCATGATGGGAGTAACCAGGGGCCGCTGCTTCTGCACGGAAGCTGATAGCTTCTGTCTGGGTAACTGACAGGGCAGGGAGTAGGCTGCAGGAGGGGAGCCACTTTTAGAGACTCCACATCCCCTGTGCTGGGCTCCCGCTTCCCTGCACAGCTCGGGGAAGGACCTTTCTCTCTTCCCTTTCTGCTTTTTGTGATGCATGTAGCCTACGCACTCTGCCCACATCTGTAGCAAAGCAGCCCTCACTTCACTGCAACTTTTGGACTTTTTGAGGCTTAATTATTCATTAGGGGGCAGACACCCAGAACCCAAATAACCTAATAGGGGTCCATCTACTTCTGCCCCCTCCACTGCCTCCCAGGGCTGGGACTCGGAAGCAGGTGGCATTTGGGAGGTAAGAGGATAGGACCAGTGGTCCCTGATTGTTGGAGGCTTGGTGGGGGACACTGTTTGCGGGCTGTGGGCTGGGTCACCCACCCATAAGGGAGCAGAGCTGTCCCTGGGGAATAAGAGCTATCATTCTGACATGAGCCAAGGAGTCAGAGCTGGGGCTAGAACTGTGGGTGAAGAGGGCTTCAGGGATCACTGCAGCCCCCCGGGTTAAGTCTGGGGAGGGAGCTGGGAGCAAACCAGGGCTATCTCCAAATAAGTCTTTCCCAGCGTTAGGCACAAGGGCCCTGGAGGCAGAAGAGCTGTCTGGCCCCCCAACTCACCACGAGGATGAGGGTCCCCAAACACTCTGCCATCGCCTGTCGAAACAGCCGGTAGCGGATGTGGAGCATCTCCCCGCAGCGGGACACCAGCTCCTTTTGTCGACCCATGGCTCAGGTGTCGGGCTCTGGTGGGTGAGCGAGGCTGAGCGGTGCAGGAAGCAGTGGCCAGGAGCTCCTTGGCGCCCTGCCCCTTATAGGCCCTCACAGGCCGGCTCCGCCCGCAGCCCGGGCCACGCCCGCGGGCTCTGGAGGTGGAGGGGCGGCCACCACCCACCGCCTAGCCTGGGGCGCTGCAGGGATGCTGGAGAGGGGAGCTGGTGCGGAAAGCCCGGATGGGTGTGGGGAGCTTGGAGGGTGGGCTGGAGCTCTGGAGCTTCAGAGGAGGGATGTCACTGGAGTGAGAGACTGAGGGGGTTCGAGAGCTGGTTGTGGCCAGGTGACATAGCATGTGGGGACCGCAGCTGAGAACAGAGCTAGCAAGGCAGAGTATATGTAAGCTGGGCCAGCTGGCCTACATTTGTAATCTCAGCACTGAAAAGCCTGAGGCAGAAGGATCGTCAGGGGTTCCAGGCCACCCTAAACTACACAGCAAGACCCTGTCCAAAAAATAATAATAGTAATAAATAAATAAAATCAAAGCAATGAATAAAATAAAGAGACCTAGAGTGGGTCCACTCATGATGAACCCTCCACCCTCCACAGTGTATCCACGTGGGAGACGGAAACCTGTGGCAGAAAAGAAAGGAACCGACCCAACGCTATAGGATGACTGAACCAGCAAAGGTCCTGAGGGCCGAGGGAGGAGGCTGGCGGCCCCTGAGAAGAGACCCTCCTAGTGCAGGCCCAGGTTTGGGCACCCTGAACACAGGGCCTCCATCTAGAGTTTACAAGCCTTCTCACAACACATTTGAGAACACATGTGTCCCTCCTGCCTGGTCATGCTTGCTGGACACGCTCATGGCTGTGCACAGGCCCGCTGATCAGGGCTGGGTTAACTTCCCACATACATGTCCGCATGCACGGTTCCCATAGCTGTAGGGGCTGAGTGGCAGTTGCCCTGACGTGCCACATGCTACAGCTACCACAGGGAGGTGCCCACTGTTTTCAACCCTCTCTTTACCTGCTCTGGATGATCGCCTGACCTAGGAAGACTCTGAGCCTCTAAAAAAAATTAAATTGATCAAACTGTATGGGTATCATGATACCCTACCTGAGGGAGATTTGGGACAACTTTGCTCTATGTGCTATTTATTTGTTTATTTTTAGGGTTGGTGTTCAACTAAGGGCCTCGCATGTACTCTACCACTGAGCTATGTTCCCATCCCTAAATTGTATGTAACTATCAGGAAATTTGGCTCAAGGGGCAGCTTGGTGGTAGAATACTTGCTGGACATAATACTCAGTCTCAAAAGTTTTTTAAAAGAGCTAAGTTTGGATGTGGTGATGCATACCCATAATCCCAGCACTTGGGAGGACAATCACTATGAGTTCAGGGCCAGCCTGGGCTACATAGTGAATTCAAAGACAGGCTGAACTATGTAGCAAGACCCTGTCTCAAAAAGGATTTCTTTTTTTTTTTTTTCAGGAAACTGAGGCTTTTTTTTTTTTTCCAGACAAGGTAAGAGCAATTCACTTTTGAATTCTTCCTACTCATCCAGAAAAACCATCTGTCATCTTTCTTCCTCCTTCCTCATCTTCAAATAAATGGCCTCTTTTACTAAAAAAAAAAAAAAAAAAAAAAAACCCAAAAAACAAAAAACCAGGGTCTAGTCATGTAGTCCAGGCTGGTGTTAAATTCATTGTGTAGTCCAGGCTGGCCTCAGATGCTCAGATCCTCCTGCCTCAGCCTCTGAGTGCAAGAATTATAGGTGTGTGCTGCCACTCTTAGCAGAAAATTGAGGCTTAATGGTCTTTCTATGGGACAAGAAGCAAAAATCCTGTCCTCATCCCCAAGTCCTTGGCAGGAGAACAAAGAAACCACATTTTCCAAAGGGACTTAATCAGACAGGCAAGTACCTTCAGGAACCTGTTCCTTGAGGAATGGCTGTCAACAGTGAGGACTCTTAGTTTCAAACCAGGTCATGCCCAGAGGGCTGCGGTTTGCAGTGTACATAGTGTGGATCCACACCGCTGCAGGTGTATGCATGCACACAGATGCACACATGTGAGCGCACACACATAAACCCCATACCCTGGAACTGGTAATTGCACTCTGGCATAGAGACGCTGAATTTTTAAATTAGATTGTATTGGTACATTTTAGATATACACATGACCACACTCACCATAGAGAATTTGTACCTATACATGACATAACTTGTTTCTCCCCCATTTCCCTACCCTCCCTTCAACTCCTCCTCCCCCTCATTTACAAAGCTTTGTTTCTGTGTTTTCCTTCTTTTCTCACTTTTTTAACTTTTCCTTTCTTTCCTTTCCCCCCCTCTCCTTTGTTCCCCTCCCTATTTGAACATTTTCCTCCTATTTCATAATACCTATTATACATGTTAGTCCTTATTTAAACTCTCAGTTGCTCACACCAGAGAAACAATGGAGTAGAACATGTATGTCCAATTTATTTCACTTAAGTCTGTGGATCAAGGTGCATCCATTTTCCTAGAAATGTCTCAAACATATCTTTCTTTATCACAGAGAGTACTCCATTGTATGAAAAGAAACCACATCTTCTGTGTCCATTCACCACTTGATGGGCACTTGAATTGTTTCCCAAATTTGGCTACTACAAACTGTGCCCCTATAGACTTAACACTGAATCCTTACATGCTCATGAAATTCTTTTCACGTAAGATTCCGGCCTTAAGCGTGGACATATACGGAGCCACACATAAAGCTGCTATGGCCTTTGACCCACAAAGAGGCCAGTGGGCACATGCATTGTACTTATGCAAACATGGGAAAGTTACGCTTTCCCCCAGGCTCAAGATGAATCAGGGAGCCATCACCCAGTGCCTGCCCACCGACCCTCTCACCAGTGACTCAAAACAGTGCTAGACTCCTGGGCTGGAGGCACCACCACAGGTTGTGGGAGCTGGGGAACACCTCAGCCAGGTGTCTCTGCCCTCTACCCGAAGCATGTTTCTCAGCCTCTCACTGCTTCAAGTGGGGCTGCCTAGACAGCACAAGGCAGGAATTCACTAACCCTGAAACAAAATAGGGGTCCTCCAGCCCCCAGCCCCTAGCCCCCAGCTCTCACTTTGCCCCAGCCTGTGCCTGTGGCAGCTAAATGTGGCCTGGGAAGCAGAACACAGAAGAAAAATAGGGGTGCTGAGTTCCAGTAGTCACACACAGGGACATGTACATACATGTGATTGTACTCTTCTGACACGGGCAGCACCAGGAAAGAACAGGTCACACACACAACTATGGATCTGTATATCTTACACACTCACCCATGTGTGCATGCCTACCTATCACCCTGGGACTGAAGTTCACCATACAGTGACTTTGTGGTTCCTTCTAGTTGGTGTAACCCCATCAACTCAACGGTGTGGTTTGGCAAGTGAGCCAAGAGCTGGATTTCAGTGTCTTTGTGTTTTTTGTCTCCTCTGCTAAGGTCCAGGATGCAGTACCATGAATCCGTGTATCCCCATCAAATTAATTCATGTCCATAAGAAGGACATACACCCAGTTCACACAGGTACACTTTCGTGCCCACTGGTCAGGTTGGAGCTGAGAAGATATGGATGGGTAAGTCTCTATGCTTCTTAGTGGACGTGAGAGGCCCCTGTCTGGAGAAGGGAAGGATACAATATATTCCTTATTCCTGCCAGCCCTTCTTGGATCACTTGAGATGGAAAAGGGCTAGAGAATGCCAAATGGATGAACCAGGCTGACCTGATGGTGAGGCAGGAGTGGGGCTGCCTCATTACACCACTCGGGAGATCAGATTATTCTCTTGGCAGCTGATGCAATTGGTGTCCCCTGCAACTAGAAGCAGAAGAAGGCATCACTTCACAGAGAAGGTGCACCTTGCTGAGGTCCCAACCCTCTGAGTCACAGATTCCCCAGGGGCCTTTGGGCTTCCTCTTGAGCTTTGGCAGGGAGAGTCATGCTGGAGTGCGGGCCAAGAGCCAGGAGCACCAGGAGAAGGCAGATGGGGAAGTCACACCTCCTCCCAGGGCATCTGGGCAAGGCCTGTGTCTCACAGGGGTGGGAGGCTGAGCCTGGGCAGCCCATCCTGCCGTGTGAGGCCATGACTCCTTTAAGGCTGGAGCTGAGAAGTGGGTTTTCAGAAGGAAGGGCTAGAGTACACGTTCCAGCCTGCTGGACCAGAGGGGCTGGCTAGGACTCTTTAAGGAGTGGGGGTGGCATGCCCTTCGTTTCCTGTCCCCAAAACTCTTGCTGCTTGAATGAGAGCAGTCTGAGCCAGCAAAGATCTGGGCTTTGCTGCTCGTGAGTCAGAGCTGAGAACAGAAATGTAGAAAGTGACTGACTTAGCGCCCAGGGGTTACCCCAAACCCCTTAGCTCTGGCAGAGCATTAGCATGGAGTGGGTGAGGGGCAAAGCAAAACAGATCTGTAGACCTTTTCAACTGTAGAAAATGCTCCTTTCTCTTAGCAAAGCAACCTCCATAAGTGGGTGTATTTCCCATTTCACAGATAACCAAACTCAGGAACAGGATAGAAACTACTTGCTAGAGTCGGTCAGTCACTGAAAATTGATGTGAGAGTCAAACGAAACCCCACAAGCGTAGGGAGGTGAATGAAGAGGGTGGAGGCCAGGGTGCTGCGTTTCTGAGGCAGCAGGTAAATAGTGCACCGGGACTGAGAAGCCCACTGAACCCCAGCATCTTTGGGCCCCTTTCCAGAGTGTGCCCACATTCGTAAGCCACTGGTGAACATTGTCTGCTCCTGGCCCTCAGGGATAATAAGGGAGCCAAGTCTGGGCTGGAATGGGAGTGGAAGACAGAAATTAATCATCCCATTATGAGCGTCCTTCGGCTGGGGGACAGTTGGCGGGCAGCCCCTCCTTCTTCACCAACAGTTACACTGGGCCTCCAAATAGGCTGGGTGGCCCTGAGCCCACAAATGCAAAATCCTTTTAGGCACCTCCAGACAGATTTCCAATTGGACTTTGAGAAAATCTCTTAACTATACCCTGGGGACTTTGGGCTCACTTCCTGCTGTTTCTGAGCAGCCTTCAGCAGCCT